ATTTATTTGTACTTCTTTCTTCATCATTCTTACTATCGTCTCTCCTCATCCTATATTTATTGACATATATTCGTACTTCTTGGTGTCTTTATTTAATCTTCTTATCTCCCTAATCTCAACTTCTATATCGTCATTTTTACAGCTCTTGTCCGAAACTTGGCCCCTACAAATGGATGCTCCTTTACACTTGAATACGCGTTCCGATCTTCATTTTAGTTACGTACGTGATGGCTCTCTTTTTCACTTTTTTTTTAATTCGCTTAGTGGGAGGTGAAGTCCAGCTGGGTCCACTCGACACGTCAGCCACTGTTTGGCCTATTGTACTTGCCCCGGGTGATTATGATGATGGAGAATTTTGTGGAATGAAGATTGACAAGGGAAACCAAAGTACTCCGAGAAAACCTGCCCAAGCGCCACTTTTTCCACCACAAATCCCACTTGACCAGACGCGGGATCGAACTCGGGCCCCCGCAATGGGAAGCCGCGACTAACCGCTTGAGCTATGGCGCGGCCTTCTTCTTCACTCTTTGTACTTCCTTCCTTCAGCTTCAGACCTTTTTTCCACCGTAGTTTTCTTTCTTGGTTGTCCCTGTACTTAACTAAGGTGACACCTCCTTTACTTATAACGCAAAAGTAAATGTGTCCCTGTGGTTAATTAATTTAGCACCACGCTATCAAGATGTATGACAAAGTGGAGGTACAGCTCCCCATTATCCATTGGTTAGGAGATTAAGTGCCCCCCCCCCAGGAATCGAACTCCGGCCGTCCAACCTGTAGTCCGTCGCTATATTGACTCAGCTATCTCGGCATCCCTTCCCGTCCTAGGTCCTCCTTAAAACGTTATACACTCTGCTACCGGATTTCTCTCTCTCTCTCTCTCTCATCGTAAATCGCATGTCTTCTTTTTCTAGATTCTCTTACCGCTAATCCCATTCTCCAAAATACCCAGCATGCTCTTCCATTCCAGTCACAGTTCAATCTGCTCATCCTGTTGTTTGTCTCCCTTAGAAAACAGTTGACACTCACAATAAAATCTTACTGCAACGCTACTTCATCCGGCACGGATCACATATGAATTCATCCGTGACTGAACATGAGGCTCCGTGGTGAGAAGATACTTGTTAATCTCCTGAACTATTGGAAGACCTTCAGTAATTACGCGTTTAAAAATATTTCCATACTAAGAATCTTACGAGATGTTTTGTCCATTGTTGCGTATGACATCAGAGCCAATCAGTGAGTAACGTGATGTAACATATCCAATTATTCTGTTTCGTAGTACTGGACGAAGCAGGCTGCAAATATACACACAGAACCAATTCACTGTCTTTGATTAGGGCAAAGAGAATGGTTCCATGTAACAATTGCATGGACAGATTGTTTCGTGCGCACGAATTCAATGAAATCAGTGGAATGGAACAGACAGCTATCTATAGCTCTTCAAACAGATTTATAACTTCACGAATTCCCATTTGTTTCGTGTTGTTGGAACGTTTCCGTCCCCGCAAATCTCCCCCCGTCCCCTGTTTTTCTTTTTCCTATCCTGTCACATGTCGGTAAAGAATTAAACAAACTGGAGGATGATAATACAACAACGCGATGACGTATTCTACAATGAAACAGATATCAGAATATTGACAAAGAAACTTCATTTTGACAGAGCAAGTAAAATTTCCATACCTCAGAACATGCAGCTACACAGAAGAATGGCGGACAAAACTGGCCAGTAGTCCAAAGTGTGCCGATCACAGTGGCCGCGCGGTCTAAGACATGAACTGTCTGCACTCACTCAAAACCTGGGATCATGGGTTCGAATCCCACCCAAGGCATGGATGTCTGCGTTTATTCTATGTTTGTGTTGACCTGTATAGGTAGCGGCCTTCGTGGGGCCGATCCTCCGTCCAAGGGGTCCTACCGACTGTCTTAGATTAAGAAACTGAAATGAAACGAAGTGTTTCGTGGATGCCCTATGCTCCAAGTGGCAGCTACAGGAATAGATAAATAGGTAGATAGATGATAGACAGATAGAAAGATAGACAGTCTAAAGGCCGCGCCATAGCTCAGGTGGTTAGTCGCTGGCTTCCCACCGCGGCGGCCCGGGTTCGATCTCGAGTCTGATCAAGTGGGATTTGTGGTGGACAAATGGCGCTGGGGAAGGTTTTCTCCGAGTACTTCGGTTTCCCTTGCCAATCATCATTCCACCAATCACCCTTACCTATCATCTGGGGCTGGTACAATAGGCCAGAAGTGGCCGCAGTACAAGGGACTTAGTCCCACCCCACTAGCAATAAAAAAATAGTCTAAAGAGTGGTTATGAAGAAGAATAAGAAGAAATAGGAGGAACTTGAATAATTTGTTTTTGTTATGATTAATCTATGCCACGAATTACGAATGTGTAGGACACTTGATGAACCACTCGTAGTGAGTCACGGTCAATAAGGCAAGCAAATCAGAAGGGAACGATCTCAGATGAAATACTTTTCAAATGGAGCGCTTCCCGATACATGTTCTCGGACTGTAACAGGAACGAGAAACTTACAACTTCCGTGGAAAGAAGAAAAAATAGTAGAACAAAGTGGAAAGAATACTTTGACAGGATTCCATGGAAAACTCTTAAAATATCAACCAAGCAGGAGATTAAGTTTGGGAAGACGTGTTAATCATTAGAATGACACATTCTGCTTTGTAACATTCGCAATAGGTCTCAATAGGCCTGCTGCTGATGATGATGGTGATGGCGCGATTTAACTGTTCAGATTAGGCAGCATCAAATAACAGAATGAACATTGCCATCCTCTGGAATATAGCGTCGTGTAGTCCGTATATGAACCAACGTTTCGGAGGAACGGATCACCACCATCTTCATGCACCTAGACAACTACTCTCGCTGGTTTCTACTTTTCGACCACGAAGACGGTCGGCTCATATAAGGACTAAACAGAACTATAAACCTGAAGATGGCAAATTTCATATCTGTCTCTGTGAGAACCTCAGATCCTAACTGACATGATGGTTCATGAGTGATACAGTGAATATTAAAGAAACGCTTATAATTAGATACTTGTATATGTGGACTGAAGCCGGTCACGGTAGCCTAGCGGTCTAAGGCATGTACTGTCTTCGCTCGCTTGGAAACCGGGATCGTGGGTTCGAATCCCACTCAGGGCATGGATGTTTAGTTTGTGTGTGTGCGTTTTTCTGTGTTTGTATACAGATAGAGGCCTTGCGTCGAGCTGATCACCCGCCCAAGGAGTCCTACCAAATGTGTAAGATCAAGAAAAACCGAAGTGAACGGAGAAGTTCATGGAGGTAGGCCTAGGCCCACTGGGGCTGTAGTGCCAAGGAAAAAAAAATATGTGGACTGAGAAAAACCGTTAACAGTTCAGTAACAGGCTAGCCTGCTTCCAGAACTAGAAATGAACCCTGAACCTCCAAGGTACGGATCTGGAAATGTAGCCACTTACCTGTGTCATTCCAGCCGAAGAATAAATGATTCATTGATAGAAGGTAAGACATCCTAATCCGGGAAGTGAATATGATTATGAACATTGCTCAAGTACAAGGCAATGACAGATTGTACAAACTTCATTAAAATGTCCAGCCAATAAAACTGCCTTACGTGTATTCTCTTACAAGTCCGTGTAATCAAAAGAGATTCGTTATTCGTACATTTAAAACTGGGTCACGTGGTACTATGCTACAATCTGGCAGGTAGCGGGTTCGATTCCCAACGAGATAATTATATTTTTAAATCATCCTATTCCTTCCAGCCGCACTATGGCCTTGGAATCGACTCAGCTTCTAACAGAAATGAGTACCAGGAATCTTCCTGAAGGTAAAGAGCGGCCGGCGCGTAAATCTGTCAACCTCACCTCCAACTGTCAGCAGACTGACTAGAAAATGTGGGACCCTCAACGTCTAACAACCCTATTTGCCCCCACGGCCTGTTACAGGGATAACTTGTTTACGTTTAATATTTAAGTAAAATCTTAAAATTATTATATACATTTCCTTTGAGTGCAATAAGAAGCTGTGTTTTTTGCAAATTATTTGTCTTCGGGGATGTGTTGCCAAGTTCTCTTTATGTGCTTTGCTCCTACCTTTCTTATATGCCTCGTTACTCAAGTATTGCTGATGTCCTTGTGGAGATATCAGTGCCAATTGCTGTTAATCTCGTTATAAGATTATGAATAATAAGCACGCCGTCTCCTGGGATGTGGCGCCGTGTATATCTTCTGTGAACCGACGTTTCGGAGAAATGTATCGCCTCCATCTTCAGGGTACAAAAATCCGCGAGCGAGGAACCAGCGTGAGCAGGTGGCTACAGTCTGCAGCCACCTGCTCACGCTGGTTCTTGCTCGCGGATTTTTGTACCCTGAAGATGGAGGCGATACATTCCTCAGAAGCGTCGGTTCATATGGCACCACACCCCAGTCACACCCAGTCTTCATAGTCATCACCGTGAAAACCTCGAATCTTACATTATGAATATTGTTATCATAAATTGTTTTTCAGTTGACCTAATCCTTTCAGCCGCATTATGGCCCTGGGGTTCACTCAGCCTCTAACAGAAATGAGTACCAGGAATTAAATAAATAATTTTCCTGGGGAGTAAACCGTGGGCGGCGCGTAAGGCTAACAACCTTACCGCCATCTTTGAGCCGATTGTCTAGATAATGTAGAACCCTCAAGGTCTCACAAACTTATGGGCCTTCATGGCCTGTTACAGGGATAGCTTTACTTTTTTTTTAAATAATAAATTATTGTCTGGCAGCTTGTGAAACATCTCTCTGTAATCACTGGATGGGCATTGTGTTGACGTTCGTATTCGTGAAGAAACACACAGGACATTCAAGTCAGGAATCGAATTTACACATCTAATCCGCAACGGATTGCTGTACTGTGCTTCTGCTTGTGACATCTGAGGCTCCTACAGTGGCGAACGTGAAGATTCTGCATGGATTACGGTGGAAGGTTGTAGTACGTATGCATATACTTACCCAGCATGCCGACAGGGAAAGCGTACGGTATCTGCCGGTTCTCTATGACGCTCTGTGTCACCACCCACACGTAATTCTCGCCGGTGATCTTGTAGTCCCGCGCGGCCTTCAGAATGTGAATGGCTTCCTCTCGAGTGGAGTAGAGCAGCATAACACGAGACTCCGAGTTCACAAGCTGAATTAGGTCCTTGGGGTCGGTTACTTGCAAAGCGTTCAGGATGGTAAACCTGGCAAAAAGAAAATACCACAATGTGTTACTTGTTCATTCCCTCAAGTATAATTAGAATGATCAAGTCAAGAAGGAAGATATTGAATTCACATGTAGCACGAATGAGGAAGTTAAAGAATGCATATGTGAAAACCAGAATGAAAGAGGCTACGGGGAAGACCGAGATGTAAGTGGAAAGATGATATTAAAATGGATCTTACAGATATAGGATGGAGTGGTATGGACTGGATTCATCTGGCTCAGGATAGGGACAAGTGGAGGGATCTTGTGAAGACGGTAGTTAACCTTCGGGTTCCATAGAATATTGGGTCTCCGCTCCAAGAAGTTAGTTAGTTATGTATATTGTTTTGGTTGCTGCTGTAATTCAAAATCCAGTTTCGTAAATTATGAGTCGGTAAAATGTGTCAGGCCGGGTACAGCTAGTTTTAT